CATTACGTCGATTTCATTGTCATTCATAAATTGTGCTAGCTCAAGTTTGTGCCGTGAAACACCGTTGGCATTCCACAGTGCAATGCGCAGGGGAGCCATTGATTATTTTGATAAAGTGTTTTGGAGCATCTGAATCAAAATATTCTGATTTGTCAACATACTTTGCATGGTCGTCCGCATAAATGAAATGAATTCATCCATACTTTGTTGCAAACTGAGCTTCATCGTTTCCATTCTATTTTCTGTGTGCTCTGCTAGTTGGTGAGAGACTGTAGGTGGTGGTTGGACATTGTAAGCGGGGCTCGCATGACCCGATTTTAAAACGCTTGCAAAACTTACGTTTTTATTTGTAGTGGAATTGCCGAGTGATGATCAGGCTGCTGACGAAAAGAAGACTTCAGGTGTGAGTTTAGAGGGTATCAATGGTGTGTGGTGAGATCGTGCTGTTGAGACTCTTTGGTTTATCCGACTTTTTAACTTCTTGTATACTGGACAGCCTCTGTAGTTTGCTGTGTGGTCTCCTCCACAGTTACTACACTTTTTGCTATTTGGCTCATTTTTTAATTCACACTTAGCTGAGGTATGCAGCCCTCCGCAGGCGACGCATACAGAGCGGAGTGTGCAGTAAGATTTGGTGTGTCCGTATTCCTGGCAATTTGCGCACTGGACTGGGCCATTGCGTTTATGCGGCTCTTCAACCGTGATTCTGCGATGCATTAGAAACTGGAGATTGTAGATGGGATGGACTTCATTTTTCTTAAGCCCCTTAGAGTCAGGTGCAAGTTCCACTTTAAAGAGAGGTTGCGGTTGTTTATTTCGGTTACGTATGTTTATAACTGTTTTTACGTTAAAACCTTTGTCTTTTAGTGCCTGCTCGACTTCAGCAGTGAAGTTTGGAGCTCCGTCAGTTTTCTAAAGCTTTCTTCGCTTTTGACTTGGACCTTTGTTTCATGTATTTCTCCTTTAGTCAAGGGGATTACGTGGAAGCTATCTTTACCAATCAGATCGCTTATTATATTAACGAGGTTGTTGGAGTTTTTCTCTCGAATGTAAAGCGGAGGCGGCCTCGGTTTCTTTTTGTCCGTATCCAAAACTGTAGAAGCGATTTCATCGGACGTGTCAGCCAAAAGTTGAAATCTATTTGCAGTATTAGAGTTTTGCACGGTTCCTTGGCTTGGGAAAGCCCTATTGATTTTTGCGGCGTTACCCATTTTCGTGCCCTGTGGGCTTAGTTTTCTTTTAATGGGTAAAATTGCGCTTTAGCGGCTTTTGCTAAAAATGGTCTAGGAATTTTTTTTTTTTTTTAATGGATACCTTGGGGCCTAAACATTAATAAAAAAGTGGCGGAAAGCTTAAATTTTAATTATTTATGTGTTAAAATTGCAATTATTACTGCCGCGAGGCAACCCGTTTTAGAACATTGCCATGTTTTTCTAGCGAAAAACTTTACCGTTGAGAATGCGTTGTGGATGAAGAGTGCTGCAATTGTGTGAAAATTTAAAAACAAAAGAAATTAAACAATTTTACCATGTCAGGCACTGCCAATTTTACTACTGAACGCTGTAAAGGTTGCGAAATGACTCAGAGTGATTTTATAGTACTGAGTGAATACCCAGAAAAGCTATGTCCAGTTGCTTTTTTGCTATTTTTACAAATAAATACTTAGAAATCAAGCTTTCCGCCACTTTTTTATTAATGTTTAGGCCCCAAGGTATCCATTAAAAAAAAAAAAAAATTCCTAGACCATTTTTAGCAAAAGCCGCTAAAGCGCAATTTTACCTTTTAATGTTTATGTAGCGATCCATGCCAGTCTGTATGGACGGACCTTGCTTTTTAGTTGAAGCATCTGACGGTGCTACGCTAGCTGCAGTTGATAAATTCGCTGAGACAGCAGGTAAAACGCTCGACTGTATTGGGCATGCAGACGAAACTGATGTTGTTGTTGTCATTGCATTTACAGTTGCTAATGACGTTACTGTGCTGGTACCCGTGGCCAGGCATGTGGGCAGTTGGGGTGAGGCAGGGCCAGGAAGAAGGGAAATGCATTTGTCGCTTACCCCGCTTTGCATCGTCGCTGACATATATGGAGAAAGAGAGCGCGCCCTTTCGTTAAGAATAGGATTGAGTTCGTTGGAAGGTGTTGGGGTTAACGATCGCCGTTGATCGACTACTGCAGAAGCTTTTGTTGTTGGTGCTTCTGGTGTCGATACGAAAGAGAAGTATGCATTGCTCTTTTGCAGAGAGAGCCGGGGCTCGTCTTGCTTACGTTGGCGCTGCGCCCGAACTTCGTTTGGGTTCATCACCTTATTTGTTTGATTTTTTTATTTGGTTTTATTTGTATTTCAGTATTAGAAGCACTAATTAAAAACACAAAATAATATTAACTTGCGACTTTTCATCGCGATAAGCGTCTTTTCGCCGTTTATTTTTATTTTATATCGGGGTTTTCGTTTTTTGTTTTTATCGATTGTCTTTCGGAGCACAAGAGAAATAAATAAATGCACGTCTGCACTCGCCGACGTTCGGATTTTACCTTAAAGTAAATCAGGAAATTAATTTGGGTAATTTATATATAGGGTTTGTCCGGAAAGTAAGAGGACTGATTATCTTTCGCCGCCAATCTACTTCGTAGCATGCACGCACCGACTGGACTCGGTAGAGGGCGTTCGTAGGTAACCAACGAGCGGTTGATCACTTGTCTCCGAGCACTTGAAGAGTCAGGAGACGAATTTTCGCGCGACGTGTTTCTGTGAATGATACAAGCCGTCGTCTCCTCGTCCAAAAAAGGCAAGAATGAGAAAATCAAGAGTGAAAACGCTGCTCATTGTCTTTTTTAAGGTCAGAGGCATCCTCCACAATGAATTTGTTTCTCCTGGACAAACCGTCAACGTCAAGTTTTACGTGGAAGTTCTCAAGAGACTCAAGCGAAGCGTCAATCGAGTCTCTTGCACCATGCAACGCCCCGCCACACACCGCCTATCTTGTCAGCTACCTAACAAAGGCCGGTATCCCAACGCTTTCGCAGCCGCCCTGCAGCCCAAATTAACCTCCAGACTTTTCTTACCAGCAAAGGTCGATGAAAGGCAAGCATTTTGAGACGACAGAAGGGATCCAAGCAGCTTCCGCCCGCCTCTCAAAGCTATTCCGGAAAATGCCTTCCGTGACACCTTCAATGCTAGAAAATCACGCTGGCAGCGCTGCATCGACGCAGAAGGAGCCTATTTTGAAAGTTTCTAATGAATTGTGTAAATGCCTCGAAATAGGAACACTTACTGGTTGAGTTATTGTAGGAAACTGATTTTATTCTGCCTTGTATTCAATTTATATACCTATGGCTATGGCCTACGCAGAGGCCGCGTTTTCTATCAAAGCGGGGGAGTTATCTTTGACTCCCGCACAGCAACCTTTTGGTGTGTACAAATCTTTCAGTGATAACTATTTTTAGACTCGCTTAATAGATAGGGTTTTATCGCTCAAGCCTTATGCTCACGCACATAGAGCTCATTAGTGTTCGTCTGAAGATTCTCCCAAGGCCCGGCGAGATTGTGAGCATATAATTTATTTGCTCCTTGTTGCAATACAAAAGTTAGTGGACTGTATTTATTCGATATTATTTTTTTGCAACTACACAACTTGCAATGACCTTATTTAATGCCATTTGCTTTAATTATTAAAACTCCTTGTTAAGGTAAATCAATTATTTCGAGTTAGGAATTAAGTACTGCATTGTAGTATTGTATTGTATTGTGTTGTATTGTAATTAAGTACTGCATTGTACTCGAGCCGGGGGGATGGGGGAGAGCATAAAAGGCAAGTGTCTAATTGCATTTAACTTAATGAATGCCAGCATGATCCTTATCACTGCTTTCCTTAAGCCGACGCACTACCTCCACGTGGTTCTCCCTCAACATTCGTTGAGTGGTAAACTAAAGCGCGCGGCGACAGTCCTAGCTCTTCAAAGGTTATGGCATAGGACTTAAAATCCACCCATGGAAAAACGAAAGTTCAATGAAAGAAGCAGAAGAAGCTTCGGGACCGATTTAACGTTGACGACTATTGCAAACGAAAAAAGGACAATGATTTGAGAGTATGCACTTGGAACGTACGAACATTGTACAGATCAGGTGCTGCTCAACAACTAGCAGATTATTATTAGGTGGCACTACAACCCGATTCGGGTTTTGGCCGACCTCAGCGTCTCCCTCCAGGCGCCTCTGCTCCTCGCGCGCCTCCTCCAATCGGAAATTCCCAGTGCAGTCAGGTTCTCCTCCACTTGGTCCTTCCATCGGAGCTTTGGTCGTCCCCTTCGTCGTCGCCCGTAGTCGACCCTCGCTTCAAACACCTTCTGAGCTGGAGATTCTTTATCCATACGCACAACGTGGCCGAGCCAGCGCAGACGTTGTATCGTGATGCGCCGGACCACGTCCACGTCGTCGTACAACTCGTACAGCTCGTGGTTCATCCGAATGCCAAAGTCGTCCCCAATCCGAACGGGACCAAAGATCTTGCGAAGAATTTTTCTCTCGAACACTCCAAGCGCTGCTGCATCCGTCAGTGATATAACCCATGCTTCTGCGCCATATAAAAGCACGGGTAGGATGAGTGTCTTATAGTGTTAGTTTTGTTCGGCGAGAGAGGTCTCTATTGCACATTTGCTTACTCAGACCAAAGTAGAACCTATTGGCAAGTGTGATTCTTCGCTTGATCTCCAGGCTGACGTCATTTTCGGTGTTAATGGCAGTGCCAAGGTACGTGAACTCCTTGACCACTTCGAAGGTATAGCTGTCCGCTACCACATGGGAGTCTAGGCGCCGCGCCTCCCTGCTTGTAGACAGCATATACTTCGTCTTGCCCTCGTTTACCGCCAAACCCACTTTTGCCGACTCTTTTTCGATAGCCGAAAATGCAGCAGTGACATCACGCTTGGTGCGGCCAATGATGTCAATATCATCGGCATACGCAAGGAGCTGGACACTTTTATAAAAAATAGTGCCAGATCGATGTACACCGGCTTTCCGCAGTACCCCTTCCATCACGAAGTTGAAGAGATCGCACGACAGGGGGTCGCCTTGTCTGAAACCTCGAACGGTATTAAAAGGTTCGGAGAGGTTTGTTCATACCTTGACAGAGCTGATGGTACTGCTCAATGTCATTCGCCGTATTAGCTTTGCAGGAATACCGAACTCAGACATGGTGGCATATAGGCGTTCCCTCGTCGGGCTATCGAATGCAGCTTTATAATCGACAAAGAGATGGTGTGTGTCGATATTATTCTCGTGTGTTTTTCAGGATTTGGCGTAATGTGAAGATCTGGTCTATGGTGGACTTACCAGGTCTGAAGCCGCACTGATAAGGTCCAATCAGTGTGCTGGTATACGGCTTCAGTCGTTCACATATTACGCTCGATAGGACCTTGTATGAGATGGTAATCAGGCTGATTCCCCGGTAGTTGGCGCATATCGTCGGGTCACCTTTCTTCAGTACAGGACAAAGGACGCTGAGATTCCAATCGTTGGGCATGCTTTCTTCTAGCCATATTTTGCACAACAGCTGATGCATGCACCTTATCAGCTCTTCTCCGGCCTTAAACAACTCTGCAGGCAGTCCATCAGCACCAGCTGCTTTGTTGTTTTTGAGCCGCGTTATAGCAACTCGGACCTCGTCATGGCTAGGTAGTGGTATATCCACATTGTCGTCGATTGGTGGTATCGGGCTGCTTCCTCCAATGGCGGGGGTGGTGCCGTCATCGCCTGCTAGCAGCTTGGAGAAATGCTCCCTCCATAACCTCAGCGTGCACTGCGTATCCGTAACCAGATTTCCATTTTCATCCCGACAGTTAGATGCTCTGGTCTTGAAACCTTGTGTCAGACGGTTGACTTGTTGGTAGAAATTTTGAACATCATTCCTGTCTCGTAACACCCCAAGTTCCTCGCACTCTCGCTTTTCTTGCTCCCGTTTTTTCCGTCTGAAAAGTCGCCTCTCTTCCTTCCTTTTCTCCCTGTAACGTTCACACGTGTGGGCGGCGTTTTTTGCTGCAGCTGCGACGCGACACTCCTCGTCATACCATTGGTTCCGTGTGGGTGGGCGCTTGAACCCAATGGTTGATTCAGCAGCAGCTCGCATGGAGTGGGAAATGTGCGCCCAGAGTCCGCCGGCGTCAACAGGGAGAGGGATAGGTTGGTGGAGCAGTTCCGAGAGGTGAGTGGAGTAGGCCATTGCTGTCCGTTGTGATCGCAGCCTAGTGATGTCAAGCTTTCGTTGCGTGATGGGGCGTATGTTTTTCGCTCGGCATAGCCGCATGCGTATCTTGGCTGCGACAAGATAGTGGTCCGAGTCAATGTTGACTCCACGAAACGTACGCACGTCCATCACACTTGAGGCATGCCTTCCGTCTATCACAACGTGATCAATCTGGTTGCGCGTCTTTTGATCAGGGGACAGCCATGTGGCCTTGTGGATGTCGAGGTGCCGAAATCTGGTGCTACTCACTACCATGTTTCGCGCCGCGGCGAAGTCAATCAGCCTGAGACCGTTGTTCGAGGTGGTCTCATGGAGGCTGAATTGACCGACGGTGGGGTAAAAGATGCGTTCGCGCCCGACCTTTGCGTTGAAGTCCCCGAGGATAATCTTCACGTCGTGGTCTGGGCAGCGGTCGTATGTGTCCTCGAGTCTCGCGTAGAATGCATCCTTTACAGCATCGTCCTTCTCCTCCGTCGGGGCGTGCGCGCAAATTATGCTTAGATTGAAAAACCTAGCTTTGACGCGGATTGTAGCCAGTCGTTCACTCACTGGGGTGAAGTTGGAGACGTGGTGGCGAAGTCTCCGGCTTACTACAAATCCGCATCCAAATTCGCGCCTCTCCGCATGGCAGCTGTAGTAGATATCGCAGTTTGCTCGCTTGGAGCAACCTTGTCCTGTCCATCTCATTTCCTGGATGGCGGTAATGTCAGCCTTTAATTTTTCGAGGGCATCCGCCAGTTGGATAGAGGCACCTTCCCAATTAAGGGTTCGGACATTCCAGGTGCATATCCTCAAATCGTAGTCCTTTTTCGTTTTGCGGTGGTCGTCAACATAAGGGGGGATCCTATCCGAGGCTTTCGCTTTGGTCTTCACTGGGCTTCTTTTTTTTACGAGGCGGGTTCCAAACCCTGCGCTCAACCGTTTAACGTCCGGGTGACATCGCTGCACACATTAGCTCACTATCTAGCGGATGCTAAGATAGCTACCCAGGAGGTGCCACGAGGAGGCTGTGTGTCAACTTGCAATCATTCGAAAACAGAGATCGCACTGGCGGCCACCAAGTTGACCGCGATCAGAAAACTTTACTCTGTACGACTGAAAGCCATTCCATCCAACTAGCAGATACCCTCAAAAAATGTAGGGCTGATATCGCTGCTATCCAGGAAATGCGATGGATAGGGCAAGGTTGCATTAAGAAGAAGGACTGCGACATTTACTACAAATGCGATGGATAGGGCAAGGTTGCGTTAGGAAGAAGCACTGCGACCTTTACTACTGCTGCCATCCAGAAAGGCATGAATTTGGCTTTGGCTTCGTTGTTGGCACCAGACTGCAGCGCCGAGTCTCTCACTTTCTGCCAATAAACGAGAGACTTGCATTGATCCGAATTACTCTCAAATTCTTCAACATCAGCCTGACATGCGCGCACGCTCCAACCGAAGAAAAGGACGATGTCACCAAGGATACTGTCTATGCGGAGCTCGACAGAGCTTACGGCCGCTGCCTTTTTCATGACATTAAAATCCTCCTTGGGGACTTTAATGCCAAGGTAGGGCGAGAAGACATTTTTGGTGCCGCCGTCGGGCGATTTAGTCATAAGGCGTCGTGGCTTTCTCCAGATCGACTGACCAGAAATAAGATCGATCATATTGTGATCGATGCAAGGCATGAATCTAGCGTACTCGACGTGCGATCCTGTCGGGGTCCCAACATCGACTCCGACCATTATCTTGTTGCAGCTAAGACTCGCACACGGTTATGTGTTAAGAATGTTGCACGTCGAGGACTGTTGAGAAGGCTGGACATCGGAAAGCTGCAATCACAACAGCCAAGGGATGCATTCTCCACTAAAGTCTTTAGCCTATTGAGCCGAACAACTCCAACACCTGAAGACATCAGCGATCAGTGGGCGCTCATATGCCACTCCCTTCGAACTTCCGCAGAAGAAGTCATTGGATTCCAGCGCCCCCCAACAAGGAATCCATGGTATGACCAGGAGTGTCGTGACGCAACAGCTGCAAAAGGGGCTGTTGTTGAAGTCTACAGGATAAGGAGAAGAGATGAGAAACGCCTTTTCAGACGCAAGAAAAGAGAACAGGAAAAGCGAGAGTGTGAAAGCATAGAGAGCAGCAGATGCCGAAATGAAGCTCGTAACTTCTATCAGAGGGTTAAGCGTCTGACCCAAGGTTGTAAGACTGGAGGAGTCGCGTGCAAGGACAATGACGGAAACCTAGTCACAGATGCGGAGATTGTGCTGAAGTTATGGAGGGATCACTTCTCAAGCCTATTAACTGGTTCTGGCACTGGCTATGAAGATTATGATCCACAAGCCCCAATCTATGGTACTGATATAGATGTAGCGACCCCAAGCCATGCCGAAGTCAACGATGCGATCCAACGACTCAAAAACAATAAATCTGCAGGAGCTGATGGCCTGCCGGCTGAATTGTTTAAGGCAGCTGGTGATATGTTGGTAGGGAGCATGCACCAACTAATCAGCAAGATATGGCGTACAGAGACCATGCCCGAAGATTGGAACCTCAGCATGATCTGTCCTGTCCTGAAGAAGGGTGATGCCACATTGCGCACCAATTACCGTGGCATTAGTCTTCTTCCAGTCGCATACAAGGTTCTTTCGAGCGTACTGTGTGAAAACTGTCTTAAGACCTTATTAGTGCGGGTTCAGGCGTGGCAAATCCACTATTGACCAGATTTTCACCTTGTGCCAAATCCTGGAGAAGTTCTTTGGGAACCATATCGACACCGATTACAAGGCTGCATTTGATAGTCCCCGGCGAGATCGCCTATATGCCGCCATGTCTGAGTTTGGTATACCAGCAAAGCTGATACGGCTTTGCAGGATGACATTGAGCAACACCATCAGCTCTGTCAAGGTAGGAAACGACCAATCCAAAACCTTTCGTACCAAGTGTGGTCTCCGACAAGGTGACTGGCTATCTTGAATGCTCTTCAATATTCTAATGGAGAGTATTGTAAAAAAGGCTGGTGTGCATCGGACGGGTACAATTCTGACAAACAGGTGTGTCCAACTCCTTGGTTACGCTAATGATATTGATATCACCGACCGAACCAAGCGTGATGTTACAGCAGCCTTTGGAACTATTAAAAAAGAGTCGGCTAAAGTAGGACTAGCAGTGAACATGGACAAGACAAAGTTTATGGTGTGCTCAAGCAGAGAATTGCGGCGTCTGGATTCTCAGCTGACTGCAGACAGCTATAGCTTTGAGTCCGTCAAGGAGTTTATGTACTTTGGCACTGTTATAACTAGCACAAATGATGTCAGCCTAGAGATCAAGCGGAGAGTTAGATAGAACCACGAGTTGTATGAGCTGTACGGGGATGTTGATGTAGTCAGTCGAATTAAAATTCACAGACTCCGCTGGCTGCGTCACATCGCCCGTATGGAAGGAGACGCTCCGGCCCGTAAGGTGTTTGATGCGGCAATTGTCGGGAAACGGAGGAGAGGACAATCTCGGATGCGTTGGCAAGACCAGGCGATGGAAGCCCTGTCTACATCCGGTGCTGCCAGCTGGCGAAGGCGCGCCCAGGACAGGGATGCGTGGAGGCGAATTGTGCAACAGGCTGTGACCCGTCAAGGGTTGTGATGGCCAATTATTATTATTATTGTACTTGAGCCTTAGAGCCTCGCTGAATGTTGATTTCCAATTGTACTGTATCTTCTTCGTCCATTATCCCAAATAATATGTGATATAGTGTCGCATAAAACTAAAAGTCGTTCGCTTATTTCTTGCCTTACTTTGACTCATAAAAGGTTTGTTATTTTCTTCCAAGTCTGGGATCTCCTTTCTGTATTATCTAAAACTGAAAGACACTGATCTTCGAAAGCAAATCACTCTTGTTTGTAGGGAAAACAACGAATATGCCACCCTTGTAAATAACCAAACGCACGAATAGGTTTAGTTAAATTAAGTGTATGTTTATTTGGAGCTGCAACTCTTATTTTTTCGTTTTCGATTATGTGTACAATGTATGCGATGCAAGCGAGATAATTTGTGAGTTTGATCTGAGACGAGATAAGCCGAAAGCGTGGCTTCTTTATACCTTCGCTTTGACGATTATAGATAACATAGATAATACAGATAACAAACATAAGAGAGGCTTGAAGAGCGGCTCCTATCTCCCTACACCCATGTGCATCAAATTAGGTGCTTGCGGTCTGCTCCGAACATACTCCCCCGTTGGAAGAGATACGGTTCCAACTATATGGAAGTCGATAAGCAGAACGGTTTGGAGGCGGCTGCCCGTAGCTGTCCAGTCCATAGCTACTCTGACGATGCCGTCCTCGCCGGGTATGACTACGCGTCCAACGCCATTTGGTCTGGCTAAGAAACCCATACTCCTTGGCTAAGTGAACCTGCTGGATACTCCTTAGAAGAAGTACGGTCCCCGAGTTGATCTCCTCAACGGATAGATGGGCATCTGAAGGTAAAGCTTGGGCTCTGCAATTCGAAATAAAACGAATCATGTATCGAAATGGAAATACAGTAGAATCCTGTTATAACGACTCCGCTTATAGTGTCCGTCCGGGTAGTGCGACGAAAACTCGATGGTTTGGTTGGTCCCCATACAAACTTATATGAAAGGGCCTCCGCTTAGAGCGTTTCCGCTTTAAGCGACAAACCGCTTATACCAACGAAATTTTTCGAGAAAATTGAAAATTTTAACCGGTTATTACGTCGTGCAGAAAAAAATACATTGCAATAGTGCCAAATTTAAGCATCAAAACACGCTGTGAGAAATGCATGTATTTATTAGTGATCCGAACCCTTGTTTGTGTGCGTAGCAGCGACACAAAGGATCCTACACTGTCACTACTCTTTGTTAGTTTTAGCTGTCGCATTAACAACGCTGCTGCGAGAGAGAGAGGGTTGAAGTGCAATGCCGACGTCACACTGTGTGTGCAGACCTCATAGTCTATTCCATGAGATGTCCCGATATATTTCTAGTTTTTTCTGATTTTTTCCGAGTAAAACTGAATGTTTTAATTTGCCAAATGCAATATGTGCAATAATAAGCTCATTCAGTTTTCAGTATTTAGAAAAACCTATGTTTTTGAATTTAATTTCTTAAATTTTTCGTTTTAATAAAAAAATTAATTTGATTTATTTTAAAAACCTATTACAAACACAGCAACCATAAAATAATCAAAAAAAAATTTTTTCCTCCTTTTGCTTAGTGCGTCTTCCGGTTATAACGACTAAAAATGGTCGGTCCCTTGAAAGTCGTTAAAACCGGATTCTACTGTATAGAAATATCCATGCAAGCAGTTCCAATTAGAGTCGCGCAACGATGATTGAGATTAGTTGGGACATGATGCCAAGACATTCCCATCTCCTGAATTTTTTCGATTTGGTCGGATAAAAACACGTTAAACTCCCTCGGAGGTTGCCGAATCCACGCCAACACGATAGACGAGCCAGACCAGCAATGAAAGTCGCAATCGAGATCCTTGCGTCGCCCCCGCCGCTCCAATATGATTCGCAGCACGTCGTTCACATCGTCCTGCATGTAGTAGGCTTGGTCATTCGCCTCGCAATCGTTACGGGCCCTTATGACTGTCATGTTCATATTGAGGGTTCCGCTGGGGGTGGGTGGTTGACTGCCTGGTGGCATCAGTGGTGGAACAGGGACATTGGGCATGGAGTAGACACGCGACATGAACTTGGTGTTGGCCAGGGGCTCCTGAAAGTCCGGTTTTATGGGGGCGGTGTTGCGAGAATCATCGATCTTGGAATAAGAAGTGGACCTTGGTACAACGATTTTGTCCAGATATGTAGAATTGCCAGCTGTGGCACCAGCAAATGGCAATTTGCGTTGGGCCGCTAAGCGTCGATTTAGCTTAGCCTCCACATTCATGACGACCTCTGAAAATTCCAACCTTGTGTCCAGCTCCAGCTCCGCCAAGTCCAGCCTTTCCAGCGATGTCTGGGCAGAATCAAATTCCAAGTTTTGTGCCTTGATCCATTTTAGTTGCGCAAGAATATCGGCCTCATCAAATTGGTTGATATTGCTGACCACCAAATAATTCTTCATCGCGTTGCTTTGCCGAAAATAGGATTGCACTTTGGCCCGAAAGAATTCAATTTCATTTGGGCCATTTTGACGCTGACTCTCGTTCACTGGATTTTCCATTTTATTATTCACAAAAAAATTTTTTTTTTTAATTTTTAGTTACAATCTGTCTGGTGACAATAAGTAAATTTTATGACTAATAATTACATAACAGGAATAGCAGATTTCCAGTGAAACCTGCTATTAAGTATACCTTATCGTTTACTTAAATTTGCCTTTCAGGGAGATCAAGAATGTGAAATCTTTTGAGTCTTCTATATGTTGAGCTATTGTCTAATAGATCTAGGGCTAGATTATTTACATGATTGTGAAGTCTGTCTGTATATTTCTTACTATATTTGTTTATCTCTTCTTTTATTGTTGGAATATTTAGATCTCTGTGAATATTTACATTGGTTACGTAAAAAGGAGCGTTAACAATTTGTCGCAATGTTTTAGATTGGTAGCGCTGAAGTATTTCTATATTTGAATTACTAGCTGTTCCCCAGAGCTGGATAGCGTAGGTCCAAACAGGCTTCAAAATGGCTTTGTAGAGGAGAATTTTGTTTTCCAAAGTGGTCGCTGATTTTCTACTTAGTAACCAGGACATTTTCAGTGTTTTTATTTTGAGTTGATGACATTTAGCTTTTATGTGCGGTTTCCATGTTAGCCTGCGGTCGAGGTGCATGCCAAGATACATTACACAGGTATCTTGTGGAATTGCTGAGCCATAAAGTGTGACAGCTTCCTGGTCTTAGTGAAAAAGTTATTTGGGCAGACTTCAGGGAGTTAATTTTAATTTTCCAGCGAAGAAACCAGGCTTCAATCAGATTGAGCTCACATTGCAAGAGTTGAGATGCTTCGTCTCGAGATGAGCTCGTTGCCAGAATGGCTGTATCATCAGCATATGTTGCAATGGTGCAGTTGTTTGTTACTGGCATATCCGCCGTGTATAGAGTGTAAAGGACTGGTCCCAGTACACTCCCTTGAGGAACGCCTGCGTTTATGAGAAGTAGTGTTGACGTTTCATTTCTCTGCTGCACGTAGAAGCATCTGTCAGACAAGTAGGATTTCAGTAATAGATAGTATGGGGCAGGTAGCCATTTCTTTATCTTGTAGAGTAATCCATTGTGCCAAACACGATCAAACGCTTGTTGAACATCAAGAAACGTAGCAGTACAATATTTTTTGTTCTCAAATGCAGATACAATTTCATTGATGACCCTATGACATTGCTCAATGGTGCAGTGGCCTTTCCTGAATCCGAATTGATATTCAGGAATGATGGAAAGTTCGTCCAAAATTGGCAACATCCTCTTCAGTAGAATTTTTTCAAATACTTTCGAGAATATAGTCAACAGACTAATAGGACGGTAAGATGGAAGTTCGGTTTCTGGCTTATTTGGCTTGAGGATCATAATGATTTCTGCACATTTCCATTGACTTGGGAAATGGTCTAGCCTCAGAATAGCGTTAAATACAAGCGTGAGAAACCGTATGCCTTTTAGTGGTAGAGTTTTAAGAGTGATGCCATCTATCTTATCCGGGCCTGGTGATTTTTTATTGTTTAAGCAATTAATTTCTGTCACGACTTTGTCAAAGTGAATTCTTTCAATAGGCAAGCTCATTTGACAGGGAGACCCAAGAAAATTTTCTATTTCAGCTTCTGTCATAGGATTGTTAATGTCGTTTGGCTGAAACACAGAGTGCAGGTGCTGTGCAAATGCTTCAGCTTGTTCATCGTCAGATCTACACCAATTTCCATTGCTTTTGCGGATGATTATGTTTCTTTTTGCTGGTCTCTTTAGATATTTAGTTGCTCTCCATAGGTTATACTCATTGTTGCTAGAATTAGGGTCTAAATTTCTCAGATATGCCGCTAGAGATTCATTTCTTTCATTTATGAACGAGTCTGCTTTTTCGTTTTCGATTATGTGTACAATGTATGCGATGCAAGCGAGATAATTTGTGAGTTTGATCTGAGACGAGATAAGCCGAAAGCGTGGCTTCTTTATACCTTCGCTTTGACGATTATAGATAACATAGATAATACAGATAACAAACATAAGAGAGGCTTGAAGAGCGGCTCCTATCTCCCTACACCTATGTGCATCAAATTAGGTGCTGGCGGTCTGCTCCGAACAACTCTCTTTTTTTGGTAATAGTTCTTTGCCTTTATTCAACATTCCAAAATAGGCATCCATATTATAGTAAACCACTAAGTTGTAAGAAAAAGCCA